GATGATGGTAACATAATGGGTGGCATTAAACTAATGTGCCCCGATAAGCGCAAGGATTTCTGCTTGTGCTGTGGGACTTCCCTCTCGCCCTTCACATACCCTGGGCCAGCTCCAAATGTGCCCCAGAGGGAACCCACAGGAGTACCACAGAAGGATGGAAAAGTACACTTCACAACCAGATATCCTTGGGCTTAGGGAACATTCACGCAGTGCAAATTGGATACAGTGGTACCTCAGGTTACAGATGCTTCAGGTTACAGACTCCACTAACCCAGAAATAGTACCTCGGGTTAAGAACTTTGCTTCAGGATGAGAACAGAAATCGTGCGGCGGCAGCAGGAGGCCCCATTAACTAAAGTGGTACCTCAGGTTAAGAACAGTTTCAGCTTAAGAACGGACCTCCAGAATGAATTAAGTTCTTAACCCGAGGTACCACTGTACTCCTCTTCTGCCTGTGTTTCTTGGGTGTAGCTTAGGGAGCAATTAGAAATAGAGTGGAAGATGTTCAGGTTCAGTTTAATCTATTAAACTTCCAGAGATTAAAGTAGCCCCCATGGTATTACAATAATTCAGTTTAATCAGAAGTATGTAAACTCCTTTATAGGCCTTGCTAAGTACTCTGTTTGAAGGGCCCTGACTCTACTAAGGTTTCAGTTTATGCTCTCAGCTGTTGTGGATGGTCTTCAAAGAAATTCTACATACAACTTGAGAAACAGATTCTGTGGGGATGGGTAGTTAAAAATTTATCTTCTGAGTAGTTGAGACATTAACATTTTGTGTCTCATACTGCTTTAGCAACTATAAAATTGATAACCCTCACGTAGTATGTCTGACTTCTGGTTCCTTAGTTTAGTCCTTCCCTTTTCTTGCTAGGCTCAACTACTACTTAGGTTCTGTAAGCGTGGAAGCTCACAGGTCCTTGTCAGGCCACCTTGGGGTTCTTTGTGTCTTTCTTTTAATGTATGAATTGTGTAAAGGTCACTCTTATTTTTTTGTTGGCCCTGTTTTGCTTCTAAATTAAAGGTAAAGATACCCCTGCCCGTACGGGCCAGTCATGACCGACTCTGGGGTTGCGTGCTCATCTCGCTTAAGAGGCCGGGAGCCAGCGCTGTCCAAAGACACTTCCGGGTCACGTGGCCAGCGTGACGAAGCTGTTCTGGCGAGCCAGCACCAGCGCAGCGCACGGAAACGCCGTTTACCTTCCCGCTAGAAAGCGGTCCCTATTTATCTACTTGCACTTTGACATGCTTTCGAACTGCTAGGTGGGCAGGAGCTGGGACCGAACGACGGGAGCTCACCCCACCGCGGGGATTCGAACCGCCGACCATACGATCGGCAAGTCCTAGGCACTGAGGTTTTACCCACAGCACCACCCGCGTCCCATGCTAAATTACTCTAAATTACTCCCTCCTTAAATCCAACCTTCAGTCTCCCAGGGGTAACAACCCACTTGTTAAGTATAACTTGTTAAGTTGGCATACCTGAACAACTCCGTTATACTCACAGTAATAACTGTTGGAGAGCTTTTAAATCAGGGGCGGGGAAACTTTTTAAGCTACATTGCCCTTTGGGAAACCTTCCAAAGGCCACTTGCCAGTGGTGGTTGAGGACAGTGGCATAAGTGGGTGGAGCAGTGGACATAAATGTTACCTCTGTACAGTACGTTAGTTTTTATATTCCAACTAGTGGGTGGGTGTGTCTTAGGAAGAGTTTAGAGGGCCAGACATAGGGACCTGGAGTGCCACAGTATTCCCAGGCCTGGGGTTCCTTGTCATTACTGTTTGCAGTAATGGTCCCACCCCCCAGTTTTGCAGTGCACTTTTATGGATGATTTCAATTTCCTTAGTGACTGGTGACAGAAGCAGGTTAATCTAGAATGCAAGAGCATGCTGTTGTATAAATGTTGCTACTTGTAAACAATTCCAAGAGGTGGTCAGCTTGTTGCATTTTCCAGGTAGCAACCGCTGTTTTCATTAAGTATGGGTGTCAGTGTAATTATCTAATGATTTTGGCTCAGTTTATTACACCTGCTTTTATTGTGAATTCTATAGAAAGTGGAGGTATGGAAAATCACTCTTTATTCAAAACTGTGGGTGGAAATAGGTGCCATGAAAGTTTTACAACTTTTTCCTTTTTAAACACTGTGAAATCACAAAGTTGAATGTACAGTACAAGATAGACAGCAATTGGAGTTGGGTATTTTACCTTAAAGGCACTGTAGGAAGCTCATATCATTTCACTCTTAAGTCTTGCGCTCCTGACCATTCTTCAGTAGTAACCCTTTTAAAAAGCTTGTTTCTGTCATTGCTATTGATTCCCTAAGCTTCAGACAGCTGTCATTGGACAGGTGAACAGGCACATGTGCACACCTCACAGACATTGGCGTTCTGTTTGGCATACAGGCGGTTTTGTTGACAGGAAACTGTTTTGCATCAGTTTTTGCCTGATTACTATTTCTGTAGTGGTGGGATGATATCATGGTTCACAGGTCAGCTGGCAGTGGTGGGGAAGAAACGCTTATTGGCTGGGTGCTGGTTTTATAAATGGGTCTGAAAGGTTAAACATAATTTGTGTATCTGAGTTGTGCTTGCGTCAAAAACCGAGACAGCCTTAATGAGCATTGCCTGCTTTAATTTGAAATTCTTGTTGGGAAATCATGGGAAAATGGAAAAAATACATGCTTGTATGTCACCCCTCAGATTAACAGTTTATGCAGAGCTCAAACATCTGAGCACACATGCTGCTGACGCAGTTCTGGAGCAGCTGGTGGAGAAATCTCCTGCTATAAATGTCTGTCTGTCTGCATTTTTATAGGATAGCCTGTTAAGCCAAAAGGGCTTGTTTACTTGTAGGAGTCATGCTAAATATGGCGTGTAATCTGACAGCTGAGTTCCATGCATAAAGGAAAGCACGGCAGCTTTGGGCTACATGGAGGACTTAAATCTATATTAATATCAGTGTGGGCAGGGGTCTTGTACAGCAAAGGAGTACAGGGTAAATGCTTATTTGGAAAACAACCAAAATACACACGAAACATTGCATTTTAGGTTCCGGAAGCATATGCAAAAGGAAAGTAATTCTACTTTTTCTGTTTCCTTTCCTTTCTGGTCCTTAGCTGATTCATTTCCAATTGGGAGTTTTGACATGTGCAAGTATCTGGATACTAAATTCTGTGACTAAGTATTTGTCATCTTTCCTTCATTCCCACTTCCCACCTGTTCCAAATTTTCAGCTCCACTTAGCAACAGTTGTTCAAGGGAGCTTTTGGAACAAACTGCACTCTTCCAGGGCATTTCTTGGGGTTGGTTATCCATGTAGATAACACCCACTGAACAAAGTAAGAGAGCAATCCAGCTAAAGTTGATGACTTAATTCTCTGTTCTGTAGGCGAGTTAAACATGTGTCTCCTCTGAAACCAGTGGGAATTAAGACTGCACTCACATTAGGGAGCAAGTCCCATTGAACTCAATGAGACTTATTTTTGAGTGAGCCTGCTTGGGATTATGTTTCAAGAAGGTTTTATTTTGTCAGGTGTCATTGCCAGAGTTTGTACTTGTAGATAAGAGACAGTCAATATGAGAAGACAAGAGTGTATCTTAGCTGCGCTATTCACTTCCCTGGTTTTGCCCCATGTGCACCCCACATTAGCTATGCCATAAATCAAAATTAGGACAATTATTGCACAAGACCCAATTGTAAATGCTACTGAGGGCAGGGCTCATAAAATGGAACAGACTCTTGTGAAAGCAAATATAAAAAGCTCATATGTCAGCAGGATCAATCTTGTAAAACAAGCTTTGCATCTGCCATTTTGTACCTATTACATATTTAAAGTAATAAATGTGGAAGTTATAATTAAATACCCAACTGCATTTTTGAACTCACTTTTTCACATGTAGTTAATAAACCCCCCCCCCCACAAAACACAAATAGGCTAACTTCTGAAATCTCTTCCAGGAGAAAAATGTCTTTTCTTTTTGAGACCTAACCATTTGGTGATTTCAAAACAACATATGTATTTAACATCTGGAGCAACAGCTGTGCAAAATTAATAAGAAGGTGGTTTTATGGGTTAGCTGGCCACTGCTCAGTTTGGTCTTACTTGGGGAAGGTGGAAGAAATGAATCTGTAAAAAGCCTTCATTTCACTTACAGTGTTGGATGACCTGCATTGGTGGCAGAAACTAAAGCACTGTCTGAGCAGCGTTTTAATGTTGCCAATACATCTTTACGAAATCAACCCATGCTAATGCCACAATAAATCATTTGCCAAGTTCTGACATACTTTGTTTTGTTGGTGTTTGGTAGCCAAGTTGGCGGGAGTTGCAGGAAAAGGATACTGGTCCCAAAACAATAGCTTCGGTTTTTAAGAAATCAGTTTCATGTTTGTGTTCTTGTTGGTAAGCTCTGTTTAAGTACATCCAAGCCATTAGTGATAATGGGCAAAGGGTGGGGGGGGAGTCAATTACACTGATATTTTGCTGAAAAATAAACTACCAACAAATTCATGATCTGTCAATAACTTCCTCTTTCAGAATGTGGAAAGGAACTAGGGTATCCTTGACTTGATCACGTAGCAAATAAGGAAAAGCTGGTTCATCAGATTAATGTAGCACAGGGATGGAGAACCTTTGGCCCAGGGACCAAATAGAACTTCCAAGCATCTCTGTTTGGCCCTTTGGATGCTGTCCAGGCCACTCGCTTGAGGGCTTTTGCCTAGCCAAACGTGTCCTTGAACAGTGGCAATGCCTCTTACTTGCTTGAAAGGAGGATGGATGTGGCGTTTGTAGAAACATTTGACTTTTGCATGCCTGGAATTTATTCTCCTGGACAAAGGTTAAGAGCCACACTATTGCTCTGCCCAGTTTTTCCTCTAGTCCCTCTCACCAGTGGCATGCAGCCCCTGGGAAGTTGCCTATGATGGAATGTGGTCCTCAAGCTGAAGTAGTGTTTAAGAAATGAGCACCCACTACTATGGCTTTTGTTTTGTGTTTCCATTAGCTCTTCAAGTTCTGGGAACGTGGCAGACCGCGTCTTGGCACAGCTGCTGACAGAAATGGATGGGATTGAACAGCTAAAGGATGTGACTGTTTTGGCTGCGACAAACCGGCCAGATATGATAGACAAGGTAAGAGGTTTGGGCACTTGCCCCTACTTCTGTTAAAACTACTTTATTGGAAGTGAGATGTTTTAAGATTGTAGTCGAACGTCTTTGTAAAGTACTGGATTTTTTAAAAAGGGGTTTTGTATAAGGCTCAACAAAAACAGTTGTTCTCCTGGTTTTCAGAAGAAACCATGGTTTGCTCCACCAGTGCTGCTGCTTCAGCATTTTTTGAAAGCAATATGCAAACTGACCACTAAGACCCCTATGCATTCACAAGGCAGTAAGATAGAGATGTTTGCTGCAGCCGGAACAGCTTTGAGCAAGTTGGTCTGCTTGGGATCTTGGGGTCCTTTGTTTCAGGATTAATGGACCATTTTGTAGAGTTAGCCAGCCTTGGAAGTACTGTATCTTGAAACCTCAGAACTAAATACGTATCTCCAGTCCATGTGGGGTGAAAGGAAAATTTTGTTTCCATAGGCAGGAGGGAATTTCTCCCACACCAGTCAGTTACCTAGCCTGTGATACATGGTTGCTTTCCTCCGATAGATAAAATTGTAGGTAGTCATTCAGAGATTGTTTAAGCAAATTGTACAAAGTGTCTTTGTTCTCTCAAAAGTGTTTTTGTTTAGAATTGCATCCAATCTCCTAACTTTGAACCTTCATAGACATCGAGGATGATAGCTTGTTAGCCCTCCCTGAATTGAGTGCCCTTTTCCGTAAGACAGAAACAGAAATTTACTAGCAAGAATGTCCATTTCTTGGCTTCCATCATCCATAATACCTCTGGCATCTATTTGTAATGGCAGGCTAGAACAGAAGAAGCTGTTACAACCCCAGGGAACTCTGTGATTGTTTCACAACAGGAAGTAATGTGTGTGTAGCTGAAGAATTGGATTGCTTTAGCTCCTGCTGGGTGAGATCTGAGTGTCAAACACATTAGCTGGGATGCCTAGAGCATAAGGGCTGAGAATGAAGTGATAGTTTGTGGTTTGTGATGGCACCCTGGTGTTTCTGACAGCTCATCCCAGCAGTGTGCAGCAGTTGCATCCTCAAGTGCCCTATTTGCATGAGAATGACAGGATGTGATTGGACAAATGAAGATTAATGAGAGAGTGTAGTGTCAGTGTGCTATATTGTCTTTAGATTCATGGTGCTCTTTGTTTCATTACCAGTGAGAAACTTCGATGTAGCGTGGAACAGAAACTGGGGGGAATATAGTGAATGAAAAATATGACCAGGGTTTAGATCTGGTTTCATTTAAAACCAAACCATATTCATCCTGAAATAAAATGCAAAATATATGTACTTGCATGTAAAACAGTGCATATCCACATCAGACTGTGTTCATGCATCCAAGCTTCATAGATTAGTGGCATCATGTTGGTTTTTCTGTCATCTGCATAGCAGAATAGACTCCTCTAGAATCAGAGTGATGCTGTGCACACGCTAGTAGCATTATCAAAAAATTCTCTCACAGTGTACTGTACCTACATTTTGGGGAAATTCTTCCTTAGTGTCTGCTTTGGTATTAATTTGTTGAACCAGTAGTTGAAAATTCTCATTCTGCTGCCCTGTCAATTGGATCAAATATAGAAAGGTTGCTTCTTCTAGTTGGTTCAAAGGAAAGTTGTTGCCTCTTATTATGTTATGAAATTTAATATTCCAGTAAAGGTAAAGGGACCCCTGACCATTAGGTCCAGTTGCAGATGACTCTGGGGTTGCAGCGCTCATCTCACTTTATTGGCCGAGGGAGCCAGGTCATGTGGCCAGCATGACTAAGCCTCTTCTGGCAAACCAGAGCAGTGCACGGAAACGCCGTTTACCTTCCCGTCGGAGCGGTACCTATTTATCTACTTGCACTTTGATGTGCTTTCGAACTGCTAGGTTGGCAGGAGCAGGGACTGAGCAACAGGAGCTCACCCCGTTGCGGAGATTCGAACCGCTGACCTTCCGATTGGCAAGCCCTAGGCTGTGTGGTTTAGACCACAGCACCACCCGCATACATATTCCAGTATGCGTTGTATTTGGCTTGCTTTTAAATCCTAAGAGATATTCTGTGAAAAGATAAATGAAACTTTACAATACATTTAAACCTCAAAGGTTAATTACATCAGCTTATCAACTGCTGCTAGTTAATTTCTCATTCATATTTGAGTTACTAATTTCTTTGCGGTAAATGGCTGAATTCAAACAGGCTAAAATATTGGTATTTGTAACACTTCTGAATGATGGAGTGTTCTGAGTAATTGAAGTCACCAGCTGGGACCATTATGTTTTCATGTCTATTTATTCCTCTTTCTCTTGGAACCAGTATAGTAACAACAATCTTCATTATTGGCATGTTTAAAAATATTGGTTATTAAAGGTGTGCATACAATACAAACCGTACCACTAGATGGAAGCAAGAGAAGCCACTTCCAATATCACATAAGTGAATGGTTCTTGTCTTGGAGTGTATTTTAAATTTCTTTATACTCTGTACCCATAACAAATGTTTCTAAATCATTTTTTTTAACCAACACAATTTTTTTGAAAAAGTTCAAGATCAAAGCTACACCTCACACCCTCTCTGCAGAGGCCATTCACAGGTGGGAGATGAAATTAAAAACCTCTCTCTGAAAAAGACCTGTTAGATTTTACTTGGAAGACTCTTATCTGGTGTTGATCCAATGTCCAAAAGACAGTGGAGCTGTGTTAGTGGAGTTTAGTGTTAATTAAAAGTAGTTTAGTTTTGATGAAAAATAAAAAGCGAGTGATTTGGCAGAATCAGTAACAAGTTTTTAAGTTTTTGCCTCCAGCGAAAAAGCAGTCTTTCCTTTTGAGAAACATCAAAGTTCTGCCCGTCTGGAGGCTTATGAAAGAAATTCAAATATTCAAGTTTTATGGGTGAACTAGTAAAGGGAAAGGGAAAGAATTTCAATACATAAGTTATCTGGCAACATGTTGAAGTTGTCATAAATCAGGTAATCTGAAGCTGTAAACATGTTCAGCATTTGTTTCGTCTGGAACAAATTGTGGCTATTGTATGATGCTCATTTATGTATTTCTATTGGGTTTTTCCGTCTTGCATCTGATTGGTAAATGCAGTATTAAGTGCTGTTAGTTTCAGGACAATTTTATCATCAGATTTGCATGAGATGTGAGGAATAATTTATTTTTTATAATTTTCTGTCATGGTAGTGGTCCTGTAAGTTGAATATAGCAATGAAATTAGCTTCACAGCAGAGCTATAGACTGAATATGCCCATGCCACTCCTGAATCAAAAACATATTAATATGAACCTCCCAGGCAGACCCATAAAGAAATTGTTTCACTCCCTTTTCACTCCTTTAGTCATGAGAGTGACTTTTAGAAGCTATCCTTGTGACGGCAAAGCAATGTTGGCAGAATTTGAAGTAACATGTGTAACACTTAAACTAAGTGTTTGACAGAGAATAGGAGTGACACATTACTGTTCTAAGAGTGTGCAGTTTGGATTTGTATACCATTATGATTGGTAATTCATTGTGATACCCATCTGTGAGCTTTCTGTTGGCTGCCACCTGCTTTCTGCCTTCAAACTTCTGTGTCGTGCAACAGTGTTGTAAAATGGCGCCACTAACTGCATGTGACAGCGGTGATTGTTTCTGCCACAGTATCTTCACCTCATTGTTGCAGTGCTGCACTGTACGTAGCTTATGTTAGTGGGATGCCACAGGCTATGTGATAAGCTTGTGAAGTTAGGGTCTGAGGACCTTTGTCTTTTCCCTGAAGTGATGGCTTCCTTTTTTTGGTAATACATCTCACCCTTTTGAGTACAGTGGTACCTCAGGTTACATACACTTCAGGTTACAGACTCCGCTAACCCAGAAATAGTGCTTCAGGTTAAGAACTTTGCTTCAGGATGAGAACAGAAATCGTGCTCTGGCGGCGCGGCAGCAGCAGGAGGCCCCATTAGCTAAAGTGGTGCTTCAGGTTAAGAACAGTTTCAGGTTAAGAACGGACCTCCGGAACAAATTAAGTACTTAACCTGAGTTAACACTGTATTTGGTAATTTTGATCTAAGGAATTTAGAGCTGGAAGTTTGCTATAATGTGTCTGTGTGCATCACAACTTTCAGCACAAAGAGCAGTACATCATTCCTTCTAATTGCAGTGTTGTTGTTTCTGAAGAATCAGAGGTCATTGTTGTGTTTAAAAGTATTATGCACTTCACGAAGTCTAAGAATCTTGCCTATCAAGGTTCTTACTGGGTTGTTGTTTTTAAGTACTAAATATTTTTCTCATATTTTTCTTATTTAGTATTAGTTTCCTTTATGTTTATGGGCTTCCTTTAGAAAAAAACCCAGCCTGGCTTCATTTGAACGTCAGAAAACTAGTTTATAATGTTTTAGAAACCCTGTTAAACTTAGACTCGGGGTATGTGTGCTTGTGGAAACAACAGAAATTCATTGATTCTGACATGACATCTGAATTAAAATATTTTCACATGGCACTGAAAACTGAGCAAATATCGCAACCTTGATGCTACCACTGTGGGGGATGTGTCTCATGTCACCATCCATCAGTAGGGCTGATGGAGGGGGGAACGTGGAACAGGGGCTTTGTAAATTACCTCTGTGAGGAGTCAGGTTCATACTAGAAACTGGTGTGTGAGGTAATCAGGTCTTTGACAGTTAAGGTCTTAAATAGCAAAATCAGCACCTGTTTTTGAACTGGGATTGGAAGCTTTCCAGGAACAATGAGGGCCAGCATCTTGATAGACTAAGAATAGTCTAATTGAATAATAGGGAAGAGTTAAGGCAGGTTTTAGACAATTCCTTAATTTAAATAAGGACTGTGCTAGGAGACAAGAAATATTATTGGTTGTGATATGGCCCCACTGAACTCTGTCAGCACTGTGTTATTGACATCAGCAACAATTTTGCCTGTAGGGTGTTCCTTATTTATTGATTGTATGCTGACATTCATAAAGGTGTCTGAATTGTTTCCAGTGGAATTTTCAGGGTGCTTTCTTTAAGCATAGTAAATAAATATTTCCAGGTGTGCAGAAGTAATCCCCCCCCTCCAACCCTTCAATTGCGAAGGTACAGAGAGTGTGGTAAATCAGCCTTGAGGCTGCTGAGTTGTTGTCTACCCCCGCTCCCCCCCTTCTTTGTGGTGACAGTTGAAGAGCACAGTGACTTTTTCACTTTAGATTTATTATCTGCCAGACAAAACAAGGTGGTAGAAGAACTTGTTGGGCTGCATTTGTAAGCTTTCACAGCCATACCATAAGACTTGGATAAATGTGGCTGATTTTCTCCATAAAAGCATATACACATAAATGAATTTTTTTGTGAGTGAGATTATATGAAATTAAATTCAAGTACAGTGGTACCTCGGGTTAAGTACTTAATTCGTTCCGGAGGTCCGTACTTAACCTGAAACTGTTCTTAACCTGAAGTACCACTTTAGCTAATGGGGCCTCCTGCTGCTGCCGCGCCACCGGAGCATGATTTCTGTTCTTATTCTGAAGCAAAGTTCTTAACCTGAAGCACTATTTCTAGGTTAGTGGAGTGTGTAACCTGAAGCATATGTAACCTGAAGCGTATGTAACCTGAAACGTATGTAACCCGAGGTACCACTGTATAGTAAAACAGAGCAGAAAGCACCTCTCACAGCAACATATTAATGTACTTTTCAGATAAATGCTTACGTATAAAATATTTTGTTGCAGTCTACATAAAGCTTTCTGAAAAGGCCTATTGATTTATGTTGCTTCTAAGCCTTCTAAGGTGACTGGATGCAAAGTGTCACGAGACATTTACACTATTAATAGTTGTACAAAAGAAGGAATTTTATTAGGTGGAGCTGGTTATGTGGGAGTCAATGAACCTGATGAAATCTGCCTCTTTTAGTCCTACTTTTCTCTGATTCTGGTGACTTTGCTAAAAGGGTAGGCAACCCACAAGACTCCAGATGACAGACTACAACTCCCATCAGCCCCAGCCAGCATAGGACGATGGGAGTTAGATGATGAGAATTGTAGTCCCCCAACATCTGTGGGCTACAGCTTTCCAATCTCTGCTCCACTATGAATTTCTGTTTGAGATACCAGGCTGTTCCTAGGAGAACAAGTTCTTCCATCTGGAGCAGTGCAAAGGCAAAATAGTGAGGTCAGAATGTACTTGTATGGATTTTGCTTTATCTTCTGCTGCTCGCTACTCAGCAGTGAAATAGGAATTCAAGTCTCATTGAGGATGTGAGTGCATACAGGGAATTCTATGACAAAGAAAGGTTGCCTTTGCTAACAGGTGAATTTCACCTTTATTTGCAAGCATTTAAAAAAACTGTTCGAGCCTTTAAACAGTTGGAACAGAGGTAGGGAGCTATTATTCCAGTATAATTGCAGCAGCAACGTACGTTCTCCCATTGCTATCCATCTGCTGATGGCTCATGGCTGAATTGGCTCTGTCTTTTTTCCTCCTCCTGAGAGACCCTTCCTTTTGAAGAGACTAGCAACAAAATGAGTGCTTCTGTGTAGACTCTGGGTTCCCCACCAGGTCTTCTACCACCCTTGCTAATTAGCTGGCACCATCGTCAGTTAGTTATATGCCACCTTTCTTACTGTAAACAATTCTCAAGGCGGCTCACAACTTCAAAGTTTATGTTCATGTTTCAAGTTTATATTCACTAGCATAATAAAATTTACCCAGAAATAAACAGTAGTGTAATGGAAACATCTCATATTGATAAATATACAATAAATTAAACAATGCAGTAATAATTCGTAAGGGACACGGGTGGTGCTGTGGGTAAAACCTCAGCGCCTAGGACTTGCCGATCGTAAGGTCGGCGGTTCGAATCCCCGCGGCGGGGTGCGCTCCTGTTGCTCGGTCCCAGCGCCTGCCAACCTAGCAGTTCGAAAGCACCCCCGGGTGCAAGTAGATAAATAGGGACCGTTTACTAGTGGGAAGGTAAACGGCGTTTCCGTGTGCTGCGCTGGCTCGCCAGATGCAGCTTGTCACGCTGGCCACGTGACCCGGAAGTGTCTGCGGACAGCGCTGGCCCCCGGCCTCTTTAAGTGAGATGGGCGCACAACCCTAGAGTCGGACACGACTGGCCCGTACGGGCAGGGGTACCTTTACCTTTACTAATAATTCGTAAGAAGGACTGAAAATAAAAATAATAGAACATAATGCAGATAAGCAGCAAGTTATGATATGCTGCAAGAAGAATAAAGCAGAGGAGGAAATATGTCAGAAGAGTTGTGTTCCTTGCAAATATGCGAGAAATAATTCATGAAATTTGCAGGTGCACGTACTGTATGAAGTTTTTTGGGACCCTATTGCACTTTGGATGCTTTAAACAGCTGTAAGGCAAAACTTGCAGTTTAGCTGTGCATTGACCTTCTTTGCATACTTTTACTTAAGGGGAGAAAATGGAGAACATGCATTTATCAAGCTCTCAGGCTGCCTTAGGACTGCTGTGGGTTCTTCCATGTCCTCAGCTGGACTGGAGGTCTGCACAAGGTCTCACACCTTTTCCTCAGAGGAGGTCTCCCTGAGACACTAGCTGGGCAAATCCTGAAACAGATTCAGTTTTTCAGTGCAAGCTTTCTTTACTTTACTTTGAATTAAGAGGGATCTTAAATGCCTGTTGTTGTGGTTGTTAATTTATTTCTATACCTCCCTTTATCAAAAGATCTAGTACATTGAGAACACATTTTACAGAGCATCATAATAAAAACATAATAAAAAGCACAATAACAAGACAGCATAATAAAATAATGATAATAACAGCCCTCCAAGCTTTAACAGGCCATAGATTATTTAATAGCAAAAGGCCTGTGTAAAGAGGAATGTTTTTGCCTGGCGCCTAAAGACATTTAATGATGGTACCAGGTGAGCCTCTCTGGGGACAGCATTCCACAGTTGGGAATCCACCACAGAAAAGGCCTGTTCTTGTATTGCCATCTAAGCCTATACCAGAGACTATAGAAATTGTCACCAGGAACCCCTCTAACATGGTTAGAATACTTGTGAAAACAAAGTGTTGTGAAGAATAATAATATATTAAAATTGTAAGTTACTTGGACACGTAACCTTTGAATGCTTGTTTCAAGAAGCTGACTTAGTGAATACAGGGCTGTTTTTTGTTGTTTTTACAGATATAGCAGATGTTGGAATAATAAAATCATCTCATGTGATCAAATGGGGGAAATGCTTGGAATAGATATTGGAGAAGACGGTTGGAAGATAATATGGTCTGGCACCCAAAACAGAGCTCTCTGTATAAGTGTAAATTAATCTGTAATCTGTAGCTCACATGAGAACAGTTAAGTAGTTCAGCAGTTGAATGGTCCAGGCTGGAGAGCTGATCACCACCTGCTCTCTCCCAAGGTCAACTCCTGAAAAATGTTTACATGGCAGAGGTCAGCTGACACGCGTATAGCAGCTAAGGATGGTTCCAAACCAAGGTCCTATGAGTGCTCATGGCAGGCAAGTGTTGCTCTAAGGCAAACCTAGCCAAGATAGGTTGACTCCCCAATCTCAGGTTAGTCCCCCAACCAGCTGTAATTCTGTCTTAAGTGGATTATATTATCTTCCTCTGTACGATAGTGTAGAGATTAATAGTTTTATCTTGCTATAAAACCCTGTTGCCAAGTGTGACAAAAAAAGGCATTTTATTCACATTGCAAAGTAGTAATAGTTTACCATGTTCCTCTGATGCTCAAAAACATTAGGAGCTATCAGTGGCTTTTGACTGTTCCTTTGCCAGATGCGGGGCACGCACAGGAAGGTTTAAGGAAGCAATTTGTCCCTTGAGCCTTTTTCAGATGAAGTGCTCAGCAGCACCAGGACATGTTCTGTGGAAGTCTACAGAGTAAGAAGAGGTAGCTTCAGCCAGTTGGTGAGGCAAGCCTTATTCCATTACTTAACAAGCCAGCACGTGGGCTATGTAAGCAAGAACACACGCCAGGGTGTGTGTTCATCAGTCAACACGCGAGGTGTGCGTAATTGGCAAGCACACACCCTGGAACATGTTACTGCACTTATAAAAATGGCCATTTAACTTTTATTAAAAGCGTGTATATACAAAGTGTGCCTAGTTCTCAGAATGCTAACTTCTTCAAACAACGTTATGTAGCTTAGTTGCATTTCATCTCAAAGAATTTTTCTGTTTCACTTATGCAGAAGCATTTTGTTGGCAAGCAACTTTTTCGTTTCCGAATGCTTTTCCATCTCAAATCATACCCTTGGGGTGAGAAAAGGTCTTAGTACCCCAAGTGATCTTGAAGGACAGTTGTAACACCATGAAAAGCAAACATTGATGCTGTAGCACATGTTTCTAAGTGAGAGGGCCCCATAACTGCAGCAAAGGAGGTAAGCCGCAGGCTTTCATTTATTTGTACAGCAGTCTTTTGCCAGTATCTGTGGGCCTATATAGCTTAAACCAGTTTATTTTTAACAGAAAATAGCTACAAAGAAATACTAGTTAAGACATGTTTGTGCTAATGGCTGAAACTGGAATTTAGGCAGACTGTGATGTTTGGCCTGTCCCGTCCCCCCACGCCACCCCCTTTCCTGTTTTTTTTTAAAAAAAGAGTCTGGGAAAGACACAAAACAAAAATTATTATTGTTAATATTTACAAAATGTTTCATTGAGGGGAAAGCAAGTAGCAGAATCCAATTCTGTGGCACTTAAACATGGTCTTCCCTATTCAACAGTTTTGTTCTACTCTATGTGAAATGTTAAGTGATAAAATGTGGGCTTTTTTGCTTCAGTTACCACTGATGGTAATTACAGAAAGGACATACCATTCTGGTGTTTTGGGCATCGAAGCAGTTCTCAAAGTATCAGCAGGTGGCAGTCAAGCCAAGCTTCAGTTTAAGCAGCTAGAGTTTAGAAGTTTAGGAGATACAGTTCATATAGAAATTCTGAGAGATACTATGTCAGGTAAGGCAGATGGGGATCTTTGTTGGGTCGAAACACATTGGGCTTTGTAAGATGATACATGCATATACTTTTACATTGGAGGAGAGGAAATTTGGCTCATATCTAGCTACGAATACAGAATGCTTTGCTCTTTAGAGTAATGCAATTTTAAGGCAGTTCCTGGTTGAGCTGTAGAAGTATGGAGCTCCATTGCCAATTCTTGCTGCTTGAGAATAAAATGGCCTTAGGTGTGTCTGTGGGAGACATGGAGCTTTAAAAGCTGTACATCGGGTCAGAGGAGACCTTCAGTGCTACATCCTGGTAGACATTTCTGTTTGGGCATAATCCCGATCCGATAAACAAAGGATATAAACAATATGGTGCCCTCCAGATGGGGAAGGGCCATAGCTCAGTGGTAGAGCATCTGCTTTGCATGCAGAAGGTCCCAGGTTCAATCCCTGGCATGTCTAGAAGGGACTAGGAGATATTCTTGCCTGGTACCACGGACACTCACTGCAAGTCAGTGCAAACAGTACTGATCCAGGTGGACCAGTGGTCTGACTTGGAACTAGGCAGCTTTCTACATTCCTATGTTCAGATGTTTTAGATTCCAACTCCCATCGGCCTTGACTTGTATGATTTGTGTGCTTGCAAGACATAAACTCGGCACTGACAGCAGCTTATGGTTTATGCAAGCATTCTCCCCAGGAATATGCTTGAAAAAAGTGGGAAACCTATGTAATATATCTGAAGAGTTGAAGTACCACAAAAATTCACTGATGCAAATTCAGCTTGTCATATTTATTTTGCTCTTTTGTAAAATGCAAAACAAATAGTGGTATAGTCCACTGGGGTCCTGATATTGTGGTTTTCTGTCTGAGGTCTTGATATCAAATGCTGCTTTCTAAGTTAACCACGGTAGTCAAAGAAGCTTCTTGTTTTTCTCTCTCCTGGGTCAGAAGCAACACCATCTCAAGCTTGCTCAAACTGTTTGCTAGTCCTTCTGCTCAGCAGACTTCCATTCTGCTAGCTGGGTCATGTACGCTACTTAAAATGAAAAAAACTGTGGGAAATACTGTAGATTTTCCTCATGAGTCAAGGTATTTACTGCGCATGTTTCATCTCATTATACCTTAAGGGGTTAACGTTATGCATATTAAACTAACAGCACAGTTTACACTAAGAGTTATTTAACATCTACTGGCGGTATTACTGTACTTCCTGTTTTGTGTTCACAATAAAAGGTTTCTAAAGAGCTGCCTTTGTGTAAATACTTCACTTACATTCTAGGCAAGTATATTCACGTCTTGAGCTAAACACGAATAGAGTGATGTTTGGAACACTGCTAAAGAAGGAAATCTTTGTGCTTCATAAATGATACCCTTGAAACTTTATAAGAATATGATTTGGAAATGACATTTGTATATTTGTTTTCTCTTCTTTTATTACGCTGGTTTGAAAGTGGTGGATGGAGTGGGTGGAGGGAAGAAAATGTTTACTGTTCATCAGTCATTTTTGTCAACATTTTGAAAAGAATTGACTGTATTTTTGTAGCATACCTGTGTATTTTAAATTGAATATGTGCATTAAAAATGTAAAAAGTGTTCTAAACACTCATGAATTGTCTTAAGGGGTTTAAAAAAATGTTTGGCATCTATTTTAATGCAGCATTATTATTATCCCCTTCCATTGAAAAAGATGGTGTATCATTTTGGCCACTGTTTCTAAGATTAGAGTGATTAAACAAGCTAGTGAGTCAAGTATGCACACAGCATCAACAATCTTATTTTTTAGCACAATACATGCATTCATCGGTCAATTTTATTTGTTCAGTTCTCCACTCTTCAACATGGCACCTCCTGAGGTGACTTATGATCATTGCTTGACAACAAAGCTAAACAAAGCAATACAAAACAAATAAGAATACTGACTCAGCAAAATATCAGAGCAAATCATTATGGTGTAGCTGAGTATTGGGGATGGACTACAACCTTATCATCCTTGATCACTGGCTATGCTGACTGGGGCTGGGAGTTGGGAGTCCAAGTGGAAGGCTACAGGTTTCCACTCCTGGTTTCACCAAGCTAGTGTAGTTCAAAAGCCTGGTGAGATAAAAATGGTATTTTCCTGGAGCTTGAAAGACATGAGATTTAGTGCTAGGCAAGCCTTCCTGGGGAGAGCGTGTTATAAATGGAGGCACTTTCTTTGGGTGAAGGAACTCAAAGAAGGCCCTTGAAAGACAAGTTTAACATTTAGGCAAGTTCATGTAGCAATTGAAAGTCTTTTCATGCCTATGATGGTACAGTCTGCTGCACCGGCCTTTGTGCTTTATCAAAAATTGTTCTATTTTCAACAGATTTTTCTTCCGTATGACAAACATAACTAGTGCTGTGTACTGGCCTAGTCTCTTGTACTAAGTATGTTGGTAATGTCAATAATCCAACGTAGAGGCTTTTCATTAGCCCCCCAGCAGCTACAACACATTGCATTTTTCTCTCCTTTTTAGCTGATAGCTCTGGCTTTGGCTGCACCACCGATACATGACAGGCTATTTCTATTATTCAGTGAAATTCAACCACAGCACCTAGATGGCCATAGGGAGCCTCTTCCTAAGATAGGGGTGGCCACTGTGGTGCCCTGCAGCTGGGGTTGACTCCAACTCCCATCAGCCCCAGCCAGCAATGGCCCATGGTCATGAGTGGTGGAAACTGTAGCCCACAACATCTAACCTGTCCTCAGGTATCCAACACTGAACAGCCAGTGTTAGTTGAATGTTAATTTTGTATCCTCTCTGTTTAAAAAGCAAGGAACAAATAAAACCTCAGTGGGGAATCTCAGCTATTCACCAGATACAATCCCCAGCTTGGCAGCTTCCTCACTGTGAACTGACATATGTAACCAATATAATAATGATCAGACAGAGCCTCTGCATACGTGCAGGCTATAAACCTCTTTTTGAGCTCTGTGTTTTAAACTAAAAAGTCACGTCTAAATTGTGTTGATAAAACCTTTCAGAATAGCTGTCGGGCGTCGGGTGAGTTGAGAGTTTTATTTTGATATAGGTAAGACAAAGAACATAGAAGAGTAGAGTTGGAAGGGATCACAAGGGTCATCTAGTCCCACCCCCTGGGATGCAGGAATCTTTTGCCCAACATGGGGCTTGAACTCTTGATCCTGAGATGCTCTACTGACTGAGCTATTCCAGCTCATCCAGATGTTAATGCCTTTTAAAAAACATTCTTGGTTTTAAAAGAACATCCTTAGCTTTAGAGACTTACTTGCTTTCGATGGGCATTAGTTTTATTGTACTCTGAGCAAAACGTAAATTGAATCATTGAAATTATCCATAGCCTCTTTTGTCATTTTGGAAGAAAAGTATAAATTACTTCCTCTAAAGATAATAAACATTTCATTTATGGGAGCTGTCTAAACGTAACTGTTTCCTAGAATGAGGTTAGCTGGAGAAGGCTAACGATAAATGGCTGCAAGATAAATGAGGAATGTGCTTGGAATTCATTGACTTAATTAGTTACTTAAATCAATCTTTGTTTTCGTATAAAAGTGCGCCTGCAAGTTTACTTTTATGTGTCTAAAATACCCATGGTATTTTATGGTAAACATATTGTTATGCTCACCCCAATTTTGAAGAGAGAGGTTTCAGGAGCCCTAGCAGATACACTGGAAGTAGCTCTCCAAAGTTTCAGGCAGGTGGTTAAACCTGCGACCCTTTGATTGCAAAACTGGTGAACCAGCCCTGAGCTATGATATAGATTCCTTAACTCAGCTGTTACCCAGCTTGGATTTTGGCTTGTCTTTAGACTGTTCCTATATGTCTTGCTGGGACGCGGGTGGCGCTGTGGTCTAAACCACTGAGCCTTGAGCTTACCAGTTGGAAGGTCAGCGGTTCGAATCCCCACGATGGGGTGAGCTCCTGTTGCTCGGTCCCTGCTCCTGCCAACTTAGCAGTTTAAAAGCACGTCAAAGTGCAAGTAGATAAATAGGTACTGCTCCGGCGGGAAGGTAAATGGCGTTTCCGTGCGCTGCTCTGGTTTCGCCAGAAGCGGCTTAGTCATGCTGACCACATGACCCAGAAAAACTGTGGACAAACGCCGGCTCCTTCGGCCATTAAAGCGAGATGAGCGCCGCTACCCCAGAGTCCTTTGCAACTGGACTTAACTGTCAGGGGTCCTTTACCTTTACCTTTTAGATGTCTTGCTAACTTTGGCCTCTAGCTATGGGCCTGTTCATTGGCCTGTTCTTCCTCTGAAAATTTTATTCTGATTATTGATGGCATACTGCCCATGATTAATGGTGGAGATTTGTGCCCCCTCTAAATTTGCCCGATCACCTTTGCTCCAAGGCCTAGAAACTTTGTTGAATATCATTTGATGCACTATTCCTACTCCCTTGGCTGCAACACAACACCTGCAGCCCTTAGCCCAACTCTGTACCCCCTTTTTCAGTACCTTGCTTAGCTATTTTACTTCCTGCCTTGTATCTGGGACCACAGAAGTCCAGCACTTGCAATTTCTCATGCTATCCTATGCCACTGTGAAAACATACTAGCAGAGAGAAATTTGCATCTTAGTAGCAATGTGTAATGAACGATTTATATTATGGAAATATTGAACTTTTATTACAAATATTTTATAGATTTAATTGTTCTATCTCTGTAAAAGCTGATGAAAACTTTTTTCCTGTTAGATATCATCTGCTTCATTTGAGCACAATAGGGCAGCGGAACTGGGGGAGGAGAACAAAATATGGCTTGGACATCTTTCAGCTGGCAGAGCAGATTATCAATGAGCACTACAGCTGCACTATTTGAAATGTCTTTAAATTTGGCATACTTCCGTTTCCTTATTCATTTTCTTTCTTTCCTGACTGTTACAATAATAGTTTCTTGTTTCTGTTGAACAAAACTAGCAGTTAGTGGTCAGTTAGATATCAGTTAGGCACAGGAATGTATTCATTATAAACAGGCACTTCCCAATCTAGACCAGGACTCAAGTGTCTTAGCCTTTCTTGCTCTAGTCTAGACAAATGTTGAGGTGAAAAGACTTGTTTTACAAGTAAAAGGCAATATGGGAAAATATTTTTATAGGAAATGTGCCTGAAATCTTCAAATCATTCCAGAGTGATATAAAGTTCAAGGTCGTTAAATTTAGCATGCTAGAGAGGATAAATGAACACATTTAGATTTATACCTGGTTTTAATATGAGGTGTGTGTGTTCTTTATTGTATTTTTAATTTTATGTGCCTCTCTCTGATACTACTTTGCAATGGGAAGCTGACAAATACTTTTAATAAAATACTTATTGTGCCTGTAGACTGGGAATGCTTGGGAGACATTAATCCCTTTGTTTTTGAAAGGTTGCTTTTTCCTGCATTGCCAATATTGCTATATCATATGAAGAATGAAACTGATAATTGACAAGTGCTCTAAAAATGCTTTGCTTTTTCATATTTTAGCTGTGGTTGTATCCATAGGTCAGCCTTTGGTCTTTGTTATAGCTTCCATTCATCAATTGTGGGACATATCTTGAGCTTTCTCCCATCTGAAATGATGTCCCTGGTTTATTCTTTGCATTGTAGTCATACTGGTCCTCATCCAACACAGACAATGCTTAATTTCAAGAAAAGAGATGCTTGGTCCAGTCATGTCTGGAAATATCCTCTTTATATCTGAAAGTCCTTTGCCATTATCCCTGATGTGTGGAAACTCTCTGGTAGTTGCCCAGTGAGACAGGTGAACTCTACACCTGTGTAGAGGCACTTGTCTGTTTTTACCACACATGTTCCGGGACCGACATTGAAAACAGATGCCTGGGCTGAAGCTTGGCAAAATTAAGTACTGAGCACAGTGATGCATATACAGTTCCCAAGTAATGAATGAGAATAACTTTGCTGCAGGAAGCAGGGACACTGCTGTGGGAAAGCATCTGTTCATTGCTAGAAAGGAAAGATACACCAGGGTAGCTGTCTGCTTCTGTGAGGCAGAGCGCATGCTAAATAAGATACTGTATTTTTTAAATGAGAGTATATTTTTAAAAACATGTGTTGAATTTTGTATCGATATAATAAAACAATTAAGTGCCTTCCTCCCAAAAAATGAAACATTGCATAAATATCTGATATTATGGATAAAAGTACCAGAGCTCAAAGCAGTGTTGTGTGGATTATAAACAACAGAAAAGCAAGGCTCCAAGCATCTGACCAAGTAGTCAACTGGGCTTCACTCTTCAAAGCTCACACACCTTAATTGTCTGCCAAGGAGAGCCTTTAAACATCATCAGCCTCAAGTACGTGAGGTTTTCAGGACTTAGCTTCCCCTCAAGCCTGGCAGTTGCAAAAGGTTGGTAAGGCTCACTAAATAAAATAAAAAATAAAAAATAAAAATCCAAAACCGTGTGTTTTGAAAAGCCCTACCAAATTACTGTGGTACACAAGTGTAGATAACCTTGTATAGAAGTTCCTGAGCTCAATTCAGTATTGTGTAGATACTAAAAACATTTACTGTAGAGTTCGAAACGATCCCGAGGGTCCAGCCCCCTGCAATGCAGAAATCTCAGCTAAAATGTCAAAGACAGAGATTTTAAGCCTCTGCTTA